GTAGTCGTTTTCGTCGACAAAAGGAATAGCAAAATCGCTCTCCGCGTCTTCCCCCATTTTGTTCTGCGTCATTTCGTGAAGGACGCGTGGCTCTCAGCGTGGGTCATCCACGCGGAACACATTCGCGCTATGTGATTGGCTGTTGTCTAATCCCCCTTGAGATCTGTGGTGTTAAAAATAACTCGAGACGAATTACCTATGGAATAGGGTGTATATGGGGGATGCCCTCTCTGTCCCCTTTATAGTCTCTTGGTCTGGAAGGATTTTGGCACGTGGGTACATCTATCTCATTATACTATTTTAGAAATCAGAAACGCCATTTGGGAAACCAAACGACCTAGATTAACAATCAAAAACGTATTTCAGAGAGCATACTCAACAAACTTGGAAAACATAAGCGTTCAGTTAGTAATAAAAATCGAGAAATTTTGCAAATCAAACTCGAGTGTCATTTGAGAAATCAAACGTCACAAATTATGGAAATCAAAAGTGTCATTTGAGAAATCAAACGCGACAAATTTTGGAAATCAAAAGTGGTCTCTTGAGAAATCAAACGCGATAAATTTTGGAAATCAAAAGTGTCATAGTGTCATTTGAGAAATCAAACGCGATAAATTTTGGAAATCAAAGGTGTCATTTGAGAAATCAAACGCGACAAACTTTGGAAATCAAAATTGTTATTGGAGAAATCAAACTCGACAAATTTAAAATCAAAATGACACGATAAAAACCAAAAGGATTTTTCCTTTTAATCATAGACAAGATATCAAAATCATAGAAGACAAAAAAAGAATCAGACATGGTAAATTTTATTTGTGATACTCCTCGAACACCGTACATTTTTTAAAGTAGCAAGCGGAACAGGAGTCTTTTATTCTCGTTTTCGGGCAGATCCGTGAAATACCTTTTTTCCCCCGGCAATTTACTGATAAATTTGATGCATGAGCAGTTTTAGTGCCAGTTTCAATTTATGGGTGCGTGAAAAAGTGCGTGTATTAAATTCCAATTAACATCACTCTAGTAGGGCAAACAAGTCCATGATTTCCAATCCACTTGTTTACACACTAAGCTGCAAATTCAACACATCTGTTTAAATATAAGAAAAAAATTACTACGGATATTTGGTTTGAGTTAATATGCCTTCCATCTGAGTTAAAAGGTTTCTTTTACAGATTGATGGTCACGTTTTTGGAGTTTTACTTCATGATCGACGCCTGAAGTTTCTTCTGCTAAGGACATATACAAGCCGTCTCTGATCTTGTCGCTCTTTTAAAAACAGCAAATAGTGGTTTCTAAGCAATGTTTCGGTTAAATTATCATGTTTTGACTGTTCAATCCTGACTCACGGGTAAAAACCTAGACGCGTCTTATAACAATATTTTTAAAAGGAAATGTCAGTGCTTCTAAACTGCTATTTAAGTGTGAATACAGTTGTTTGCAATTGTTTCTTTTGGGCTCGCGTGTTTTTGATATTTCACAATTCATGAATTAAAGCCAATATTTGTCTTAAGCTAAAATTTTGCGCCAGCACTGAATTCAATGAGATGACCATAGCCTTTGTGAATAGTGGATAGCATTTCTGATCTTTTTATTGGACTTGTGATGTGCCATTTCAATACTGAAATTGTTCACTTATTAAATATGTTAACCCATTTCCTAAATCGCCTCGGTTAAAAGCAAATCTTTAAAATAGTAAGTCATGTTTTTGTACAATCCGGTACGCAAGGAGAAAAAGGACTCAACTTTTTTAACTAAACGTTTACTTACGGTAGAGTGCTGTTTGGGCTCCGCTGTATACGTTTCACCTCCAAATGATTTCCAACCTCAAGCTTGATTCGATTTGCAGCATTCTTATATACCGCTTGGCTTTCTTATTTAAACATCGTAAAATGTCAATATATGAACAATGTTCCCTCGGTAACCAATGGAATTTTTCTGAAAAACTTACTGTAACGTATGCCTTTAAACAGAGAGTGCTTTCTCATATACGTAATTACAAACTAAGAAAGGAAATCTATCAAGTAGGCCGCGGTGGTGTCTGCTAACTCGCATTTGTTATTTGCTTCATGGGAGTAAAATCTGATATTAAAGCTAGGAAAATAAACGAAGTTTCTAAACAGAGGAAATTACCCTAATTCAACATGTTTGCTTCCAATAACAAACGAAATTCTTCACTAATGCTGTCTTAAAAGTAGTAGCATATTTAAATGTCAAATCCTGTGAAAGTAAACGTCAAATAAGTGAAGATGAGAAGTCATAAAAAACAAATATGCTTTAAAAAAGCTTAGATTTTTAACACGAAAGCTTGGATGTGTAATACCAAGGTCACGTACAAGATAAAAAAAATAGAGTTTAATACTGGATTGAGAAATTGGAGATTACAGTGTGATCCTCCTTATCTACCCCACACCAAGGTTGCTCAGTCGAAAATTTGTGAATTTCCTAATTTCACGACATGAAGACGATTTAATGCCATCCTTTTTCTTGAGTGGCTCGTATACTATGACCTCTCTGTGAATCAAACTGGATTTGCATAATCTAGTTACACAGGTTTACACTGATATTGTAAAACCGACCGTGATGAAAGAAATGAAATGAGATTGCCGGTTCCGGCCTTTTTAACTTCGAATCATTTCCTTTCTTTGCCCGGCAAGAGTGCGTCAAATAAAAAAAAAGAAAGAAAGAAAGAAAGAAAAAATAAAAGCCAGTTTGAGCAGATTCTTTTGCTACCTACGATGAAAGCAAACAACACCATGTTAGAAGTGGATGACGTGTCCTGTTACCAACAGGCCGGTTATCAGATTGGCTCGAGCAGGGACTAATGTAACTAGAGTGGATTTCTTTCTCCTTTTCATTTTAATGCCACGAATAAAGTTTGTCGTTATAACGAATGCCCTCTCAACAACCTTCCTTTCATCTTAACAACACGATGTCATCATATGCGCTTCGGTGAATCTTCAATTCTTTTTCACTTCCTTTCTCTGTATAACCATCAGCAGGGCACCGGATTTAGTTGTTTTTGAAGTCGAGGCGGGGGGGAGGGGGGACGGGGGTTCGAAGCGCAAGCACTGCATTAGAGGCTGCGGGAGCCATTGTTGGTTCGCTTTTGTGTTGTGATGTGAGTATTGTTCATCCTCTTTTCAATCTTTTGTATTACGTCATTTGGTTATTGCACCTGGCCGAAACACCATAGGAATTAACCTCGTCCCCAGGGCTTTTCCCTTAAAAAATGGGTGGGGCCACTCATTTTTTAAGGGAAAAGCCCTGGAGACGAGGTTGCATAGGAATGGCAATAGAGGAGCGGTTTGGCCATGTGCCATTGCACTTTCCACTCTCCCCAGTCTTCCTCGCGTAAACGTCTGCACTACAGACGACGAGGTGAAAATTATGCTCTTTAATCACAAGAAACGTCATATGGGCGTAGTATAGTGAAAAAAGAAGTTTATTCGTTTTTTGTTTCAACTTCCTACAAGATATATTAATAATTAAAATGTATGAATGTTTTTCTTACCATATCATATTTTAAAAAAAAATAAGTTTCACTTTTTTACTTGTCTACACGGACAAAAAACTAAAACAGGCTGCTCACGCTCGCAAATAACATTGTCTTTTACAATCATGAGATATCCCAAAACATGGGACGAGATTATAGGCAAGTAATCGCTAAGTAACACTTGAAGAAAACCGACACCATCGTTACATGACTTTAAACATTTTAAGACACTTTAACCTTTATTTTAGATCTCCACCATGATTAAACGAGGTCCCGATAAAGAAATACTTAGTATAGGGTTTTTTTTCACTCATGGCACTCAAGACAATAAAATAAATCTTCACTCAAAAATAATAACCGGTATAAATAAAATTAATAAGCACGAGGGATTGATGATCGTTTCACCCATGTAACATAACCCATATCATCCAACTAATTTCCTTTTTTGGTTGGAAAGATTTTCTCCGTTCTCTCTAGCCCCCATTGCGGGAGCAAGCGCGAGATGAATAATGCGCGCGACAAAGGAGGACACGCGCGAGAAAGGAGGAAACGCGCAAGGAAAGAGGCTTAGGTCAGTCCATTGTTGATGACCAAATTTCCTCAGGTTGCAAGTGGAATAAGTTTCGGAAAACTAAAACAAACTGCAACATTGTATATGGCGTTGCTCTATGCAGCTTTTAATAGCACGAGAATGCATAACGAACTCACTTACTTAAAGCAAAAGAACGGATTGAAATGCTCTAACCTCGGACAAAAACTGAGGGGAGAGAAAAACCGTTTGCTACTCAATAGCTGCTACTGAATTAAGCTGTAACAGGAGTTGCTGACACTCCTGCAGCGCTCTCTTGTCACCGATTTTTTCCAGGGAAGTTGCAGCTTCGACGAGCATCTTTTTCCTCTGGCACGGACCGGATAAAAATGGCAGTGGAAGATGTCGGCAAGCCATCATGAGGGCCGCTGCCTTCTCTCGCTCTCCTGTTACCCCAGTCCGTTCTTCTTCATAGTCTGTACATGGAGGAAACGAAGTTTTTTTAGATCCATTAAACTATCACAAGAAAAAAGTTTAAAAGCTCAAAACTCGTAGTAGAATGACGACGGCTAACACGTTTTCCCGCCAAAATGACGCTGGTTCATGCGCGCGCACTACTTAGAATTGAGAAATCTCGTACTCGTAGTCATCTTCGTTCTCGAATCTAAGGCCAGTCTCTAATGACGTAGTGACGACGGTAACAAGTTATCAAATGTTAGTACTTTTTATCATTTTGCGATGAGAAAAGGGCTTAACCTCCTCAAAAAAAAAATGGTGTTAACAGGGTGTGTATTTTTTAAGAATACGCGAAAAAAAACTTAAACAAGTCAAATCTCCTCTTCGAAGTCTTTCTCGTGCTCGGATCTAAAGTTCTTTATTTAATGACACAAGGGGCGAAAACAAAATCTCTATGCAAGTGTGTCTATTTTGAAATAAAGGAGAAAATAGACATAGTATTTATCAGTGCTAATGTACCTGCGTCTCCATGGTGATGTCCCTCATGGTGACAGGAGGTGACCACTCGTTGTCTTAGTGTACTCCTCTGTAGCAAATGATGTGTCTCTGTAGGGTTAGCTCCTGCCATTAGACGTGTTACAGCCTCGTACAAATAAAGCTAAAAAAATACAAAAAAGAAAACTTTAGCGTTAATCCTTGTGACCCTGTCCTCAATAGTAACGCAAGCACAAGCATGAGCATGGTCAGAAGAGTAAGAATAACGCAAGCATAAGAATAAAAGTAAGTACAGAAGCTTTAATATGCACTGGTCACGACGGCCGTGACATAAGCATAAGCATAAGAATAAGGATGAGTATAGAAGCTTTAATATGCACTGGTCACGACGGCCGTGACATAAGCAAAAGCATAAGAATAAAGATAAGTATAGAAGCTTTAATATGCACTGGTCGCGACGGCCGTGACATAAGCATAAGCATAAGAAGAACGCAAGGTTTTGAGATTCTTGTTCTTAAGTTTATGCTTATGTCAAGGCCGTCCATGTTAGCGCATAAACTCCTTATGCACTTCTGCTATAAAACGTTTTGAGATTTTTTGTGGAGATGCAACAGAAAATTGGTACGAAGGTCCAGTCTAAAAAGAAAGTTGCAACTTGTCGCCGCTTACTTTAGTAAACAAATTCTTAAAGCAGAAAATGAAAAACTGTGTGAGCCGAGAACCGGGAGCTGAAACGAACACCCATCTACGTCGCAGTTTAACAAAGATACGTGTCAAACGTCGATCGGGAATTTGATGCTAATAGAAAAAATTTGCATTAGATTCGGCACAAGTGCAGTTCGACGTTTGAAACGACCTACCTGGTTTATTTTAAGCAAATACGTGTTAATAAATAATGTGTTTTTGGCACCGTTCACAGTAAAAAAAAAAAACTTTTAGATACATAAGCCTTATGAGGTTTTTAGCTTAGATTACGGCAAGCTAAACTCCACTTTAGAACCCAGCCTTGTTAGTACAATTAACGCAAGATTCTGCGCCTTACCCTTGGAAGTGCCGCAGGTACATTATGAGTGAGTTTCTGCAAGCTGTCAAGATCACTCTGAAATGACCGTAGTTCCACAGGATCGACTGACTGGTTGGGATTTGATTTTTGCGAGAACTCCCAGATATCCTTTCTAGTACCTAACAACCAATCACAGCACAACAGCTGTGCCAGCTGATGCAGCCGGCTTACGCCGGAGTGATGAAGCGAGGAACCAAGGTTGATGCTTTCCGCCAAATGAGCACCGGACTTCCAACACAGCTGCAAACAGTCTTCAAGCGAGTCAGGTGTCAAGTCTCCCTTAACGATTCGCTTCTTGGCTAGATATGCTCTTAGAATTGCTTTTGCTAATGGATTTCTGGAGTTTGCCACAGGGTCTCTGAAAGAGAAACAATGTTTCCAAAAGATCATTTAATTAATATAATCGTATCTCCACTAACAGCCACCTCTCTACAACCGCCACTTTTTTTGGCGGACAGTCCATACATTGACTCTTGGATCAATAGAGTGTTTTCACATGACGTCACGGCGGCCATATTGGTGTCCCAAACCAGTTCTGTGGGAGTTGAACTCTTTCCTTATGCAAACGCTTTCTTTTGTTCCAATAAATTTGCATAGATGCTGGCCACGTGAGTGAAAACGCTCTATTTAGGTTTCTGGGAAACCGGCCACCTACCCCTCCCCTAAGCTAACATTAACACTTACTTCTCACTTTGGACAAAACGATGGCTTAGGGGAGGGGTAGGTGGGCAGTTTCCCAGGAACCTAACTTGGCCCCACCTCTTTACAGCGGAAACTTTCTTCTGTCCCTAAAGTGGCCGTGTGAGAAGAGGAACAATTGTACCAAGGCCTAGGCCAAACGTCGAACTTTTCATAAGACGAACCAAACTTAGTGAGTTAAGTGCATGAAACGTTCGACGTCTGGCTCATTTAAGTTCGTCCGAATGAGTTTGGATCGTCCAACACGTTCTATCCGTCTGCTTCAGACGGATATAACGTCTGAAGATCGTCTCCGGGATAAACTTCGACCTTCAAATGCGACGAACTAAACTAATGAATTAAAAAATATATTGCATACTATATCTAGCCTCGTTCGGGAGAAAATTTATTACCCTAACACCTACCGGACGGCCAAAATTGCTTTTTGGTCTGTTACAGCTGATTGGTTCGACGCGTTCTAAGTTAGACGTCTGACCCAACAGACGATCTTAATTTAATATACGTCGACCCAAATCAGAGTTTGGTTCGTCTCATAAAAAGTTCAACGTTTGGCCTAGGCCTAACTCACACAAGAGTCCAACCTATAATTTTCTGATAACTCCGTTTTGAACGAATTCACTCAAGTGATTATTCTATACTTCTCAGGCATTCGTAGGCTCAGAGATTGACCCTTTTTCAGCCTGTAGAACAGGCGTTAGTTTTTCGTATTTTTCAGGCGAGTGAAGGAAACCGCAAACGAGCGAGGAGCGCGAAACACGCGCGACGGGGGACACGCGTCCTGTCGCCTTTTCAAAAATATTCGGATACGTGTAGACGAGCCCTAAGCCCCGATATTCTTGGGGACAGATCGCAATGCACGCACGTACGCATGCTACCTGAGAATAGGGAGATTAAGAAACGACGATGACGACGGCAGTACAAACGTCGATAAAAAAGTTATTTACGTCCTTTCAAACTACATCGCGTCAATTTGGAACCGCTCGATTTGTCAAATAGAGGCGATTTTTCTTGGAGTTGAATTCTTGAGAAAATTTATCCAGGTTCAAACAGAGAAAGGAAAGTCACCGTCGTATGTTCACGTCCTCAATAAAACGTCGCACTAGGAGAGCTGTTGTTTTGCTCATAAAAAAATTGTTGTGGTTGTTTCAGCTCGCTAATACCAAACAGTAAACGAAACTGAAAACTAATTAGACTTACTCTGCATTCCACAAGCTCTTGGGAACGCTTTCCACGGTACTGTAAAACCTTTCGGCAGCTTCATCCTCGCCTTTCAGCCAGTGAACAGCCACCATTCCTACTGCTACCCACCACTTGGACACCTCATCATCACTGACAGCAGCTGCTGTTGATGATGATGATGACATGTTGATAGCGTCTCTACTGGTAGACGCGCACTCATTCAGCATATGCAGGAAATGCAGGGCATCACGAGCACTTTCGTTACCAGATGAGTTCTCATCACTGGAGGTGGGTAGTACAATGGAGGAGAGTGCATAGCGCAGAAGGTGCTCCCTGAAAGCTTGGCTGACATGCGCAATTGGATCAACTGAAACCAATCAACAGTTATTGATGAAAAAAAAAAACGTCCTAGTTTAAAACAAATAAAACAATAACAACACCAAGGCAAAATGAAACTACAGAACAAGATCTGTCTCTAGCGACTCGTTTTATGTTAAGTTCTCTAGAACCAATAAAATGTATGCCTTTTTCACGAGAATCGGTGCCCAAATTTGGAACTCTATTCCTTATTGGATTAAAATGCTTACACGTTCGTCCTTTGGTAAAAAAACAAAGAAATTATTCCTAAATTTCTTGCGGTCAGATGATGATTATGTCGAAGTCTCCCGTCTAATTAAGTTATTTAATACTTTAGGTTAGCCTCTCTTCGTAATCGTTAGGTACTTGTCTTGTTTTGTGTTAGTTTAAATTCTATTTACTGTATAGTGGTGTCTTCACTGTTATTTAGTCCATCTGTATTTAAATCTTGTTTTGTAATATGCCTTCAGCTCCCCCCCGCCTCCATTAGTTTATAAGCTGTTTGCGGGTGGGAAAGTAATGTAATTAGTTATTCTCCAATTTTCAATAAAATTTGTTGTTGTTGTTGTAAATGAATAAAGTTATGAACAATGGGGGAGCGGGGATGGCGCGGTAGTAGCGAGAGCACTCGCTTCCCAACACCAGGAACCATACGATCCGACGACGGCGAAACGGACAAGTGTCATCCTTGGCAAATTTATTTGGATATTTTGCATACATTGTAGGTGGTTGAGAGGGGCCATACATGGAGGATGACCCATAATCATTAGCAGCTATCAACTGTTCTTAATATAAGAAATGGAGATTAAAACTGTTCCCTTAGATGCTGCCTTTACCTAAGGATCCAGGATTCGAGACTAACGGTGGCCAACAAGTAGCAGACTTAAAACATTTCTGTTCGAAATTTTGGCAAAGGTCTCTCAGAAGTTAAATGAAATTTAAAGAAGTTAACAACAAGGAGTGCAGTTTCTTGATGTCAGTCAGGGGTCAGTGTGGTGGCTCAAGCATGGTCAGCCGTGCTTGCATCGGCTCCATGTGCTTACAGGCCACTCGCTTCCTTTAGCCTACGGAATGTTCATTTACCCCCACTCTCTCCCCCCTTTACAAATCCACTGATTAATCAGTGTGACAGGTGCCTGTTTCCATTGTTGTGGGGGCTCATGGCTGGAAGGTGTGGGTTTACAAGTCATGGGAGTGTAACTCGGTCCAGTGGCTGACTTTGTCAAAAGTGGAAGCCCCTGGACATCCCGCGCACCCTCTTCCATTTAGAGACACGGGTTGTTAACTTCTCAGTAACTGACAACCCGCTTATTCTAGACATTGTGGCTCTTACCTTTATTACTGACACTGGCCCACATGCTGTCTCCTGCTTTACATGACCATTTTCTGCTCACAAAGAAACGGTGTCCCTTGGGTTGGAAAAGCCACTGTAGAGAAGCTGGAACTGTTTTGCCGCTGGCTCCATAAGATGTCTGTGCACGACTAAGAAAGTACCTCTGGAGGATAACAAAAAATGAGAAATTTTTATTTCGAGAGGTACAGAGGTTTAATTTAAGTTATTTCAGGATTGCGTATACTGGCCACTTAATACAGGGTAGCCACTTCATAGGTGGCAACTTAATGAACTGAGGTTTGACCATATTAAATCAAGGTCTGACAAAGTGTTAGCATGAGAAAACAGCCACCCGTCGTTTGAGGTCTGATAGACGAGCGCAGAAATTCCATACTGATGACGTGCCACTACCCAGATCTGGATACTGACACATCATCAGTATGGAATTTCTGCACTCCTTTCTCAGAGGTCATTTCATTAGGAAACCACCAGCTGCGTCGCACAATGTCAGCTGCTTTCTCAGGCTAAGAAAGCGTATCTTCCCCTAGCATTTGTTCCAGACACTACACTGCCTGGACTATTACACAAATGATTTAGATGAAGCGTGGACCAGCTGCAACACAGGCTGATCTTCTCCTGACTTGAGTACATGTATGAAGCCTTACTTGCAGTTACTGAGAGTGGCATAACCTACCGCAATGAAGTGAAGTCCATCAGGAAATGAGCTTCTTATTTGAATTGCAGCTGATACGTAGATCTCGGCCAGGACTTCAAAGCTTACAAGTTTATCGGCTGACTCTGCCAAGTTCATAGCTGCCAGGCCAAGGAATGATGAACGCCAGCCATCCATGGACACATGACCTAAAACACACAAAATGATCCCACTGAAAGACTTTATAGAAAAAAGTTACATGTAGCACAATATGAAATCTCAATCACCTCTACCCTTAAATAGCGACTGATGATTTTATTGTCTTGGAATGTATAAATGAAGAACTAATTTGCCTATTTTGCCATTTTTTTACTGACACACTTAAAAGGAGTTATGCTTGGTTGATAAGCTTGGATTAGACTAGAGAAGTTAAGCACAGCTAAGAAAGAAGCCCTCTTAGGGGGGTGGGGGGTTGTACATTGTATGTCCCCAGTCTGAATTTAAATACAATCGCTTTCACGTTTCGAGGAGTGAGGCAAGTCAGTATTTAACCCATTTTTATGTTGTTTGTCGCCATTTTATCTAGTCTTATGTCACTGTTTTAGGGCCACATTGCTTGTTGGAATTTTCACCCTAACATGGCCTCAAGAAAACCTTCAAACCTTTCTAGTCAGAAACAACAACATGTACCAATTAACAATACTAGTAACCAGTCTGTACATTGTAAAAAAAATAGTGCGCTGCAGGCGAGAAAAGTCTGTTTCCCAGCTGACCACCTAAACAGCCAAAACCGGACACAGGCTTTGAGAAAGTCTATCAAATGAGCACCGCAGCACTTATTAAATTTGAGGCCAGCATTTTTTAACTGCAATCGATCTAACACTTGATCTATCAAGCTCTTCTGTCTTTTGATGCCTGCAGTTTAAAGTAAGCTTCCATAAATTGATCACTACTCACCTGTGAGACTCAGTTGATGAAGCTGATGATAAACCATGGCTGCATCCTTTGCAGAGAGTTTCGCATGCTCCTTGTAATCTTTGCTTCTGCCTCGTAGCTTAATCCCACCAGCAGCAGAGACAAGCCATGATCCAATCCACAGCCTGTGCAGGATATGACGCATTACCTGCCAAATCAGGCCACAGGCCACATCAAGCTTGGAGACTGGAAGTGGGCGTTTCAGAGCTGTCAGGCAGATCTGTAGGTGCCTTGATGCTGACATGGTGTCTCCCTGAGGAAAAAAAAAACAAGAGAGAGAAAAAGAAGAAAGATCATGAACGGTCGTTATTGAAAGACTGGTCATTGCTAATATGAATTTGAAACAGCTCTATAACAACATAATGGCAGAAGAAACAACAATCAACCACCGTCTAAAACCTCTTTCACTTTCAGCAATTCAAATTCAATAGCTTTTCTTGACCAAACACCAATGTAGTTTAAATAATTATTGATGAAATATTAATGCAATGCATTAGGCTGAGAGAAGTGAAGAAACCCTTTTCTTTTTAGGAAGGGACCCTTCCAAGGTATTTTCAACTTTTAAAAATGACAGTGTTTGTATAGGAAGGGGTACAAACTTGCCCTCCACTGTACAAAGTCTGGAAAAATTAGTGACTCTGCAGAGCCATATCCTTGTTAGTTTTCAGCAAATCACTCTCACATTAGGAAACTTAGCAAATTTTAAGGCACTCTTTTTAACAGATTTTCACTAACTTGACCATGTAAAAAGTTAAAAAATAAATAGATCTGGAAACTGGGTCTATTTTAAGACATGCTGTGTGGTGGCTAAGATTTGCTGCCAACACAGCAGCACCTGCACATGGCTTGTACTTCATCAGGTTGACCAATCTTTCAGAAACTTTTTATACTCATGACATTATGAAAATAGTTTAATCATCTTGCTACAGAACAATAATAATTTCTGCTACACTCAGTTAAAGTACCTTGCCAAGATCTGCTTCTGCTTGGTTTCTATGCCTCCAAAACAGCACAGCATTGTCAGAGTGTGGTCGTGTGACAGGCTCACCAAATACAAGGATGCGCACTAATACTGCTAGGGCTATAACTCCATGAAGCAACCATTTGATTGCAAACAGAGCAACACTCTGTAGCCAGTTATCCTGTGGTACAAGACTGGCACTACCAATGGAATTCAAGGTTCTTGCACCAGCGTGCGATGCGTGCCTTTCATTTACTTCCGAATTAGAGAATAGCAGGTCTGATGAAAGAATGAAAAAGTCACTTCAGTATTTCTAAATGAATTTAAACAGAAAGCTACATGCAGCTTACGATAAGTTTTAAAACGTTTCATTGCCATTTAGGGACGAAACGTTTGGACTTAACAGAAAATTTAAATTTAATTAATAGACAGACTGGAATGGATACAGGGCTCAAAGAAAGTCCTGTCCATTTTTCCGGGGCAAGTAGATGTAATACTCCATTCACACCAAAGAAACAGGAAAGGAAGAAGTGAAAAGCAGTAACTGAAAATGAGAACACATGCTTTTGCACAGAATTCAAATGAACCTTAACACGTTATGTAATTGCACTAAATTTGCATTTGATAAAAGTACAGTAAGCAGATTTCACAAAGAAAACAAATTATAAATCTAAACCATGTTTGACCAAACAGCATGTTTAAGCTTTGGTGTGAATGGAGCCTAAGTTTTTAACCTCACTTGTCCAATGGGAAAGGGGGGATACGTGTTATCTGGTAACTAAATCATTACTTAAGGCAAGGAAACAAAGGTCCTGGGTAATTATCAAAATGTGAGAGGTCTGAATTCCTGCATAACTATTATTTTTGTGAAAAATTATCATAATGTTAACAATAATTTATGGGTTGGATATCAGGTTTTTTGCACTAAAAACTAAATGGGTTAAGGAATGGAGGGACTTTCAAAACTTTTTGATGGCAATACGTCCTTCTAGGAGAGAAAATAATGCTGTACCTTTGTCTAGTTGGGGAAAGACATAACTCAGTGGGTTAATGAACAAGAAGGTAAACATGAAGGCAAACAGAGCTACACGAGTGCGATCCATCATTCCACAGCTACTGACAGGAAGAGCCTCCACCTTGACTTGTGTCTTGTCTTTTGTAAGAGAGTCAGGTGTGGGTGGAGTTAATGGGTTTGGTATTATGCTACTGGTCTTGCTGACTTCTTCCACGTCACTGTTGTCTTGTTTCTGGGTGGCTGATGTTTCAGTCATGACAGTATCTTCTGTTACTTCTCGTTTTGTCTGCTGTTCCTTTTGCTTCCTTACAAGCTCACTGATGGTTTCTGGCAAAGAGAAAGACCCACAATCCATGAAAAATATGTCGACTGTTTACAGTTGTCATTTTTAGTCACATGGCTAAAGGATTTTTAAAGGCTCATGAGTTTATACATTATCACAACTGCCAGGTGTTGTGATTCACAGTGAATTTTTAGTCTTTTTTGCTCACACAGTTTGAAAACAACACAGGTGAAAATGTTGGGCTACTATGAGCAAGAACCCCCAAACTTTTTTATTGGAAATGAAAGGAAAATAAAACCAAAAAAGCCTGACTAGGTAACATTTCTTTCCCTAATGGGGACAGACTTGACACTTTAGCTACCTATGAAGAGGAGGAGTATGATCATGCAAAATTGCCTAGTAAATTGTAACTTAGGCAAGGTTAACCTTGAGACTTCACTAGTGAATCAGCAGTCAAGCCCCAGGCAGGCAGGCTTGTGCAGGCTTGTGCAGGTCTACAAGGGCTTCCATGTGATTGCATAACTCAGCTTTCTGAGTTTTGCTTTGCTGCTGCTTTGCAGAATAACTTTGACCAATACTTTAAAAAAACAGTCTACCTATTTCACGTGGAACCAGGCTGCATGCAACTGTGAGCCATGGGGTGATTCTAGCTCATGTTCATGACTATACAATGGTATAATTATACATTCATCAAATTCAAGTTGATTTAATAAAAGGATGTTGTGTATTTGAAAATTAATTCAATGAGTTTGGAAAGAAATGCACCTCTCTTTTGCTGTTCCATTTTTAGAGCTATGTTCTCCTGCTTGAGTCGTGCATTATCATTTTGAAGTTTATGAATGACCTCTATTGCCTTCCTCAAAATACCTGCTTTATTCATCTGAAATAGAAAGAAACAGACAATTAGTGAACAGAAAGCGTGGGAATACATAATCAAGAAGGAAAGCTTTCCAAAAAATCATTTTTGTTACAATCAGTATTGAGTAACCAAAAAGATGTTGCTTTTATAACATAACATCAGCTCAATCAAGAAATCAGTATTGAGACTTAACTAAGCCTACCTTCGTATCTTGCCCACAAACAAGGTCTTTCAACTCCACAATTTTGTCATTGATACTAGTTCGGTAACGCTTCTCGATCAAATTATGAGCTGAGCGCTTTTCAGTTTTAACACCACTTTGTCCCTTGGAGTTGGCCAGGCGACTTATAGGTATCTTGTTAGCATCCAAAACAATGGGTATCGTTGCTGTTAGAACACCATTGGGGCCCTGAGACAGGGTGGGTTGAAGTGTAGACTGACTCAAGTCTAAGGTTCCAATAACAGTTGCAGGAGCTTCTGACTTGACAACTTGAGTTTGGAGTTGAGACTGGAAATGATGTAAGTTGTTATTTAACCACTGACTGTGAGTAATACAAGTACTACTTGGAGAGAAAATACTTGACTCTAAGGCAGAGCCTTAATTTGGACTTACTAAATATTGGTAAATCTTGAAAAAGAAAACCAGGGCTGGGTTGTTCAAAGCTGGGTTAAGATAACCCAGGGTTAGCGCAAAATTTGAAGTCAGATATGTAAGCTTAAAAAGTAAATTCTGTTTAACTCTTTTTGTCAACAAGTTGATGACTGGATGCTATTAAAAATATCAGAGAAAAGTATCCCAGAAAATGTTTTGAACAAAAGAAAAGATACCGGGGCTAAATTTAACCCTAGGTTAAGAGCTAATTGGTCTTCAGACAACTGGGCCCAGTATCAAAAATAGCCTCAGCTTGCAATACCCAACAAAGTTACCCAGCATTAAGAAAATCAACACTTTTCAAGCCATTTAGCACAGTCAAATGCCTAAACAACTACAGTATATTCTTTAAAACTGCAATTGAAAGTCCAAGGGTTAAGGGTCATATATTATTTTGAACTTGCACATTTTCAAGGATTCTCACACAGGAAAAAATAACAGATTCCCATTTTTGGATATTTTAGGGAATTTAAAGAATACCCATAAAAATTCCAAATTTGGCAAAGTGAGACAAGTCCCAACCAGGGAATTCCCAACCAAGTTCCCTAATTGGGACTTGTCTCCCTCTTTCAAATTTGGGATTTTTGTGGGTATTCGTTAAATACCCTAAAATATCAAAAAATGGGAATCTGTTATTTTTTCCTGTGTCAGTGCTCAAAAGGAGTATGATATACCAAATAAGAACAAAATTAGATAATATAAAATAATAAGTGTGTTTGTTTGGCTTCATGAACTACATTGTATGCTTCATTTTGCACACCAAGCAATGTTTCCGGAGCTTCCAACAGTGTTTCTGTTATTTAACAGGCACTTGCTCACAAAATAAACTGTAAAAACCCTCAACATACTTGTTGTGCCTGTGGACTTGAAGCTTGGACATTCACTTTAACAGGTGAAACAGGAGAAGTTGGCTGGAGAGGGGATCCTGGTGTTGACGACACTGAGGACACAGACACAGGCGATGGAACTTGTTGCTGTGGTGATGACTGTCCTTCAGAAACCACCACTTGTTGCTGTGGTGTTGATGGAGGCTGCTGCGTTGGCCACACACCAAGGTGCTGCAATAATTGCTGGAGGATAGCAGTCTGATTCAACATAGGCTGAGCAGGCTGCTGTGGTGGCTGTGGTTTGGGCTGCAATAATTGTTGTTGCAGCTGCTGCTGTTGCTGTTTCTGCAACTGCTGTTGTTGCTGCTGTTGCTGTATCAAAAGCTGCAAAAGCTGGGGAGTAGTTTGTGGAGTCTGTTGAAGGTACAACAAGATCAGATAAGTTTATTTCAAGGTTACCAGTCAACAAAGTGAAAAGATCATCCCGGACTACTCCCTCGTTTTCCCTCTCCCTCATCTATGAAACCCTACATTGTATATCAGGAGCACCACCTCCTTGACATCCAAAAAGGACTTTAAACAGTACCCCATCACTTATGTGGCTAAAATAATGGAATTTGGGCTAAGTTAAACTCGTGAAATGGCTGGCTAGCTGTCTCTCATCAGAGATATGCGGGGCACCCTAATTGTGTCAAAGGGGATTTTGGGTCTTTTCACATCCATTCTCTTGAGGTCAAGCCATTGCATGTTGTTGCCTGTTGTGGCTCATTTGTGCAAAGTGTCTTTTCTGTTCCCCACCCTTTCCCCCCTACAGTAAGTTTATTATGATACGTATGATTAGCAGCAAGACAGTGCCTGGGTGGATGCCACTCTCAGGGTTATTGAGGTTACACAATGCACTTGGCCGCAGTTTAGGGCTCCACCAGCCTCACAGCACCTCACACCATCCTCATATTTGCTTATGGGATAAACTTTATTTAGAGCTTCTTTCTGTTGATTTTTCTGCAGAATTCATTACGTTATCCTCTTATCATTATCTGCTATTATTATTGTAAACATCACTAGCTCACAGGTACAGTGAATGGGATTGGAAATATTAAGGTACAATATTATTGTTAAAGGGCTACGATTTCCTGGTAAAATCCAATTTCAGGTTAACCACCATATTTCCTTTGTCTCCTATGAATAATTTGGGCAACCAAACAATAGAAATTCTCAACCGAAATAGGTTGAATACTGATCTAAGCTGAGTAAGGATTTTACCCACAACGGAGAAATTAATAACATTGTAGAATACATAAGGACTACTGCATTGATTCGGTACGCAGATCATTTTTGCCAATCGAGAAAAAATTTTGTCTTCCCTGTCTTCTCCCTGACCACAGAATCTCTGTCTATTGCCAGATGCTCGGACTTAATTTTAATAAAGCAACATACATTGTACACTGTATATCTGAGGATTGATACAGATTCTCTTGTCCCAAAGTTTGAGCAACATCATCAGAAGTCATGGGAAGGAGCAGGTAAATGATCATTATTTTAAAGTACAATACTTTCAGGTTTATTTCAGGTGCCAGGTTTATTGAAAGTGAAAGCTTTTGCATTTCCTACCTGTTGGGTTATAACTGACTGTTGTTGAGTGACAGATGGTTGCGGAGCTGTGACAACAGGAGTTCGAGAGGCTGGAGCTAGAATTGAAGGTTCCCGAAGAAGTTGCTCTAAGCTTGTGTTATGCATGGTTTGTAGTCCCTGTTGGTTCTTCTGTCCCTGGAGTAAATTAAGCAGCTGCTGTGTAGCTGTGTTCTGGCTTTGCAGAGGGGCTGTACTACCATTTACATTTAAGTTCTCCTCCTGTTTTACTGCAATGGGAGATTGTAAGAGTGACAGTACTGATTGTCCTTGCTGGGGTGTAGCTTTTGAAAGATAGTCTTCAAAATTGAAAGATGAACAGTCCTCATCTATGGCCATGGATGATTCAGGAGGAGTTATGGGTGGCGAAAGAACAGAGTTTGGTGGTTCAGTCTTTATGTTGACTCCTGCTGTTGTGCCATTAAGTTCTGAAGTTGGTCCACAAAGGAAGTCCAAAAATCTCTCTAAATAACAAAAAAGAAGTTAAGTTAAGAGATTTAACAAATGTCAAGTAAAGTCGAAGCTCTCCTTGCGACCACTCTAGTAAGCAACCAGCTCAAGTTACGACCACCTAAAGTTGTGAAACCCTGTATGAAGTGCAACTTAAACATTATAATGAAACACTCTAGTAAGCGACCATGACCACTTTTGGGATTACCCAACTGGACTTTTCGTTTGTTTTTAAGCTCTGGTAATCGACCACTCGAGTCTTATTCATGAAAATCAACACTACAATGAAAAAGCACACTGCACTAATGGTTCAATGATAAAGATCTTATACAGTGGTGCAGTATTGTATTAAAAGTTCAATAAAGTTCGGATATACAGACACTCATTAAACATTAATTTCTTTTGTTTTTTCTTTGTGAATCATTAATGAGTTTCTGAAGCTTTCATAAGCTACCACCCATGCACTATTGTTTTATCATATGGTCACTTACGAGAACTCATTCTTGTAAGCGACCAGCCCTAGTTACAACCACTTTTCCAAATTTCCGAGGTGGTTGCTTACGAGAGCTTCGACTGTAAAACGTCTCAAGTAGATGAAATTAGATAATTGTCAAAAATGGTTTTTCCTTGGCTAATAAATTATAACCTAAGCAAGTTTAAATGGCACAATTGTCCTTTGGGATGGGTTATTTATGCATACTGTGGAGTTTCCCAGCACATAGAAAAGCCAAAAGGCAAAAGGCAAGTTTTGTGTTGTAGGTTTAAATAATTAGTGTAAGTCTTTGTGCTTAATGTTTATGAGCATTTTTGTCCTTTTTTCTATCCTCTCCCTTACTCTAAGTATGCTTTACAGTAGAGCTTCAATAAGTGACTGCCACCTGTAAGCAGCCAATGATCCAAAACATCACAATTTTACAAGTACCATGGAACCCCACAACCTCAGTGACACATGCCACTCACCTCATTATTACTTATCATTTTTATTGGCCCTGAATGGCCTAACTTCCTCTTGGAAAAAGATCTTGTTAAGGCAGTCACTGTTATGACCAATGGCCACATTATCAAATCCGAAACAGTGTAATCTTCCAAAATTGTTTCTCCCTGTTAATACGTCGACTCAATCACACTAAATTTAGGAAATCAAAATGCCTGTGAAATATTTCATCAACCTGAGTCATTTACTAATCAAACAGCTGCTTTGCATTTTCTTCAGTCAAAGGGTAACAACAGCTGATGCCTAAAGTCACTAAATTTGATCCTGCCTTGTAATATGGTCACCCCGTTAATTTGGCCAATTATTTTGCTTCCATTGGCGACTGTATTTTAAAATGAGGTCTCACTGCTCGTAACCATCATCATCATCATCTTTATTCGCACTATTCAGGTACAGAGAAAAAAATGACATAATACAAGAAACTACAGAATAGAAATGGTAGAGATTATATATTTAAATTGTACTATTTTTAAATCAGTATGCAACAGCCAAAGTAGCACAGCTTTTGAGTTGGCTGCTGCTTATTTATAAATAAGGAAAAGAATGGAGGAAAAAAAAATTAAGATTAAACTAATTCACAAAGTTAAACTAATTAACTTAGAACAAACGCCACCGAATCATAGCCAACAGTTACCAGCCCCATACAAACGACTTATTGACGATATCAAGCAAAACTAACTAAGAGAGAACGACTGGAGAACTAACAATTTGACTAACAATAGACGACTGTTTAACTGTGACAATAGACGGATCGAAACACACCAATTACTGATTACGAGTCTTCATAGCCAATGACATCACGGCTTAACTGACAGACGACCAATAAAATCGCGACGTAATTGACCAATCAGATCACTAACCAGAGTATGATACCATCAACTGACGTGATACAACTCACTTTGACTCTGAAGATAACTACCGCACAGGTTGTCGAAATGTCATTCACTCTCAACAACAACAGTCCTATTCAGGACTACGTCCACCTGGACGATCAAACTCAACCTACTTTTCAAGAAATGTTATGAAAACCAAAAAGAAAATAGTACAAAATTAAAAGTTCCAACTTTAAGATAAGCAAGAAAAAGATAATACCGATAGATATAATTACAAAGTAAGTTTTAATTGGAAATTGAGAAGAAAAGAAACTATGGCTAACATTTGAGCAGATGATTTTTATAAAGCTTTTCAAAACTGCTAGTAGAGAACCGTTCCAAGTTTGTAGGTACTGTTTCCAATAATTTTGAGGCTTCACATACAAAGGTAAATTTGCCAGTGTTGGTCCTTACTTATGGGGTGACCAAAAACTGATCATTCTTTATTGAAACTTTGACAAAATCATTCTTTTAGAGTTTCCAAAGTATGCCACCAGATGACTGAGAATATTTTGGTTATACACGCAATTCTAGCTTAGCTTGACCAAAAAATGTGAAACGCACCATAACACAACCCTACAATAATTATTATTGTAGCTTTTAAGAGCCTGGGTATTGGTCTGGTTTGGGAACAAAGCCTGCAACTGGTTTAACTCTTTAAGCCCTAAGAGTGATCAGCAACAAATTTCTTCTTGTAATATCAATACTTTGTAAAACAGAGTGGTCATGAGAATTAAGGACATGATCACACAAGATGAATTTGCTTGATATTTTATCAACTTCTCCCCAATTCTTTTGTAGGAAATGAATGGGGGCAATAAATGAGAATTCAAATTTTGATCTTAGGGTTTAAAGGATTAACCCTGCCCCAGTTTAATCCAGTCCCCAGGAAATTAAAGAGAGGAACTAGAACAACGACTGTCATTAAAGTGTTAAGTTCAGCACATTTTTTCCAAGTGAAATAATAAAGTCATCAATCTGGAGAAAATTAAGGTCCAAAACATAAGATTTCTTTAGAAAGTAGGACTGATGTAGCCTTCTAAAACATTTGCTAAGTTCCTCAAAACCACGTAAATAAAAAAAAATTTGTGTACAATTTTTTTTAATTACAATGTAAGTCTACATATCACCTAATCACATGTACTCTGCATGTTTAGATATAAAAAAAGTACAACAGCAAGTGAAAAACACGAGTGCCGAGAGCAGTGAACAAAGGTCAGCCGCCTGACCGACATTTTATCCTTTCAAACAAAACTTTGTATCCATGAGGTTGATAAGATGTTTGTTGCTGTGGTTTGGAAGTAAAAGGCAATATCCTTCTGAAAGTGAAAGTCCATGTAACAAGTGCTGCGTGTGCTTTTTCTTTTATTTTTGTCTTTGAAATGTCTATAGACACAAATTCATTGAGAATATAGTCTGCAAGGATTTAAATACATTTTTAACTTTTCAATATAAGGAAGTAGTGAGAAGCGTGCTGATAAAGCATAAGCTTAAAGCTTACATACTTCAGCTCATTCATCAACAATGTTCGACCAAAAGCAACATTATAGATCGAGGAGAAAAACCCATAATGCTTATGCATCGATCCTCAAACAGAAAAATAAGCCATACAATGATCTACTTATTTGCCGCTCATTAAGAAAACAAAGCCATTTGGCGCGTAAACAAAGAGAAACTGCAGTCCATCACCTTTGTTACCTAACCAAAAAATGTTACTTTTTGCGAAGGTTTCTAGCCGATATTATAACAATAAAAGACTTACCGTCAAAACCGTCAATCATGGGCTCATTCATCTCCTTATCACTGTTAAAATTCGTTCTCAAATCCGACATTGTTTCACCAAGAAAGGAAGGCCATCCTTCCCCAGAAGGGTCCGCCATTTTGGCTTCCATAACGGAGGAATCAGTTTCAACCAATCAGAGCATCCGCAGATCGGATGATCTCGTACGATGTTGCGTCATCGTCTGTTTTCTTCCTAGCTTTTTCCCATCGCCTCTTTCGGCCTGAGCTAGGAAAGAAACCCGCGCGAGTGCTGCGCGTGGTAATCGCCACTCTGCAAGAAAGCAAGTCGGTGTACGTGTATCGTAGACGTCTACTTTTTATAAAGGGAAAGGGTGGCATCTGTATTCAGGTTTCGCTGCGAAAACTTGAAATCATTTCCAAACAGATAATATGCGAAAAAAACGGGTCTAACCAATTTCACAGAAGACACAGCTTTCCGTTTTATTGTCTCTTTTGTAAGGGGAGGTTAACAAATTACAGTTTCTATGCGGACTTTTCTATTAGTTGGAAAGGAACAAGGCACACAACAACAACAAAAACAAAAACAAAAAACTCACTTTGAGCGCTAAGATTGATGGGATTGTTTTGTGATGTAGCCATGGTAGTGACGTCACAGGTTAATGGCGCTGAGAAAAACATGGCGAAAGCGAAGAGAGGAGATATTTTCAGTGGAAAAAAAGTGGAATTGTATCCCGTGAGGTGATCGAGATATTACTTACGAGGTAATAATGAGCTTTTTCTTTATCGTTCGGCAATTTTAAGGTAGATCTGCTATAAGAAGTGTTCTAATTGCCAGATCAGTTTGATGAGTACAGAATGACTTTTGCCAGTTTGAACACCTCTGTTTAATTTTCCTGGTGTCCGTTCTTCCTTTCAAAAACACACACTTATTTACTTGAAATAACAACTTTTATTCCACATTTAAGAAAAATATATGTAGGAAGTTAAGTTAAAGTTTAAGCTTTAAGCTTTAAGCTTTAAATACAGTAAGTCTTGTATACCAGTCTTACGTTTTTCAGCATGATTCAGGTGATTGCATGTTTCCCTGTAGGGTCAATTTAATTTGGCGAATGAGATTATGAGGCAGAAAGTTTAAGACCCCAAGAAGAACAAAAACAAAGGCTTCCAAAATTTGAGACAGGATCAAATTTTCCAAGACCCAAATTTTCCAGGAATCATGCTACCACTTTTTCAGTGCAGCCTACAGGCACAGGCAACAAATTTATGAAGAACTAAGCCATAGACCTGCACTAAAAATGTGATACAATATGTTACCAAATGTGTTTTGTAATTTTGTGTTAAACCCAAACATATGAATGTAATACATACACAGTGTTTTCACTAAGATTTCAAGTAGCCAGCTAAATACAACTAGTAGGTGGGGAATCAAACAGCTAGGGATTTCTTTTGGTTCTATTTTTCTTCTATTTTCCTATAAAAGTAGCCAGGGTCACATTCATAGTAGCCGGGGAAAATCTCCAGTCCCTGCCTCTTAATGACAGCTCTGCATACATTTACCTCCTACTTTGATGCTTGCAAACTCTACTCTCTCCTTGGTTGTAAATTTCTAAACACATGTGGAAAGGTTTTTTCCGTTATTAGATTTCCTTCATAGCATGTGAATGACCAAAACTACATTTTGTCCCTGTGTAGAACCATGATCCTTGTTTCATTGCAAATGTTGCAATTAAAATTATTGTAAGATTTGCAATAATTGCAAATATTAAACAAAAACAGAGTGGTTAATCAGTTATTTAATATGTGCATGGCAAAAGGCCAAAGTGACTTTCCCTCAATTGACTATTTATTTTATCATAGTCAGCATTCAAGACATTTGACTCTTCTCAATATTATTGTCACTTTCAGTAACAAAATCAAAGAAGTAGTCCCAAATTTCCAAAATGGCTTCACTGGCTAGTCAGCTACCACCCATCAAAGTAGGTGGCCAGGTCACACAGCATGTTATCAGGCATGTGCCGTCTCCACCTGCTAAAGGTACATCAATAGGAAGTCCTTTTCAGCGCAGTAGTAGAGGAATACAAAGACCTGAGGGCTCATTTATCAGGAGTCCTCCTTCTGATCTAAAGAAGCCAACTAGTACTGAAAAGATAGACACTTCAAGGTATGATTATGTAAATTATTAATAATACTTTTTTATTTATGAGGTAGACAAATCAAGGTATATATTAATAATTACATAATTCTTGTTCTAATGATGTATAATTCTAGTTACCTTTATGGCGTGAGGGTAAATTAATTGATTTATTACAGATGTGTTACAAATTAGTTCAACTTAGAAAATCATTGTTTTATGTGCATCTTGTTCATTGAGACAATACAGCAACTCTCTCATAAGTGACCACCTTTGGTATGCCACAAAGTGGTTGCTTAGGTGGTCGCTTACAGTACAAGAAGTGGTCACTATGAGAGAGTGGACTGTATATACAATGTATGACAGAGATGCTAACCTCTACAGTGGTCTAATGTCTTGCATGCAACCATTTTTGCTTTGGGTATCCTCTAAAAAAACCAAGCTTTTTATCATTGGTATTATTGGTCTTGTCCTAACGATAATTATAACACTAGGGTTGAATAAACTGGCATTGCTTGATTATATTCGTTTGAAAATCCTAATTTTTTCCTTTGTATCATCTTGGTTTAACAGGTACCGCAACACATATGAACACAACCTGTGCCTCGACATGTTGAAAGAAGGATTCCATCAGTCCTTCCGCGAGCTTTTTAATCTGATGGAGAAGCAGAAGGCAGACATTGCCAGGTTAGGGAAAGATTCTGGACTATCTGATCAACCATTGTTGGAAAATGAACCAGCAAAACTTGACCAACTGAAGCATCATCTTACAACAGCTGAGGCTGCAAAGCGAAGAGGTGAGAAAATCAACGCCATACTCTCTATCTGATATCCCACAAACCACTGCCTGGTTAGCTCAGTTGGATTAGGCTGATCTGCCGTCACAGGCCATTGCAGGCTCAAACCCAACACTCGGGGTCTTGAAAGAAAGGAGTAGAATGTGTTGCCTTTGTTCTGGCATCTGTTTCTACATGTACAGTGTATGTATGTGTATTGCAGTAGCAGATCCGCATCAGTTTTCAAGCTGCCTTATATATTACCTGTTTATCAAATAAAATGGTACAGGGTAAACCCAGGGGGGTACTTTAGGAATTTCTGGGTGGGGATGTGCTGCTGGGACCCTGGAACCCTTAACCTATACCAGGGCTAGTTCAGCTAAATTTTGCTACCCCATACTAGAGTAAACTCCCCAAATCCCCCCTATCCTAGAGCAGCTTTTTCCCTAGTCTAGATAACATCTTCAACCAACTGATCAGTTTCCTGAAAAATGATACCCAATTCTAGACCCAAATGCTCTGATTTATATACCCTATCCTAGAGTAAACTGCTTGAAAACCATACCCTTCATAGCGACACATACCTATATAGCCCATATATGGCAGTGCCCCCCCCCCCTCCCTCTTGGAGGGTAAATTAGTATCGAACCTAGAGTGATTAAATATTTCCTTAGTCTCCTAGCCCTAATTAATCATTGGAATGAAGCAAATAATATTAGAATAATAAATTACATATATTCTGGTTTAACTTAAAAACGGCTTTTACCTGAAACACATACACCTCATTTGAGTTATCACTCCTTAAAGCATGTCCTTCGTGCTTACACAAGGTCAGCTTTTGTACAGTGCATGATTAGTAATAAAGATCATCGTTTATGTAAATCTGATTATATGAAATTAATATATTTACATGTAAACAGGAAAGATGGACCAAGTCTACCACAGCTTATTGGCGTTGGCAAGATTCTTTGAAGAAACTGGGGACTTTTGGCTGTCTGATCATTTCTACAGCTCTTGTTTGAAGACAAGCCTGAAAATTAGAGGAGATGGAAGAAGAAAAGAATCAGAGGCCAACTGTAACATGGGTTTAGCTTCTGAAAAGAGAGGTAAGCAAAATTATTTACTAATGAGTGTTATAATTATTTCAAAGTACATGTAAGAGAGTTCTTTTGAGCAAAAACTACCTGTACATTGAAATGGCATACAGCACATGGGTAAATTAAATTTTTTGTTGAGATCACATTTTGCTCTAAGTTTTTGCACGGGATTTAGTGAGTTGAACCCACTTTGTGGACAACTGCTTTAAATAAGGGTACTTGTCATTACACACAGCTTTTTGTTTCTCACAAAAACCTAATATTTTCTCCAAATTCAACCACCAAGATCCTGGTGGACGTTTGATTACTATAGAAAATAGAATTCCAGTTTCCAAAATGTGTGTGCAGATTTTACTTTTTTTCTTTTGTATTACCCACCAACATCAGTGTTGGGGGCATGGGGGAGGGTGGGGGGTGGCTTTTGTTTACTAATGGGAAAAAGGGTGCAAATTATTCCTGGAGGTTTTTTACTTACAGTATTTAGGGAAGTGGAATAATGTGAGATTGGTGTTTTCTTCGTACATTTCTTCATCATGAATTTGCCAAATTTCTTTTGCTGCAATACAATAATGCAATTCAATATTTCTATTTTTAGGTGATCTCTTTAAGGCTGTTGAGTATTTAGAGTCATTTTATAACCTGACAAAAGGGCGTCTGTGGCAGACAGACAGTGGGGAAAACCTGCATTCACTTTCCTGTGAACACCTCAGAAGAGTCTATACAACTATCTCAGATGAGGTAAACTTCAAGTTGCTGTTGTTTCATTCTGAGTACAAAAGAACAAGAAGAACAAAGATGTAGCAATGACATGTTTAAGTACATATTATTCAACAAACTTTTATTGATCTAAAAATGTTTACTGCACAAACCCTGGGGGGTAGTCAACAAAGTTTTATACCTGGAGGCTCCGTCCCGAGGTCCAACCCCTTACCAGAAAAGGTACCACTTTCATATATACTTTTTATTGACAAATGGTATCCCTTTCACACATCTAGTTTGGACACTTGCATCCCTTTTAAAACTTTAAATGCACTGTCTCCTGTCTCTTTGTAATGGGACCCCCTCCCCCTGGGCACAAACTTGCATTGTAGGTTGTCTAGCTAGGCATTTCTAATGTACTTCATAGATTTCTCATGGACTTGTAAAGGTTGTGCTTGAAGTTATGGCACATCTCCCAAAACCAGAGCTTTTTAAGGCACAAATGTAGCTGTGTAAAAACAAGGATCTGTTTTGCGGCAAGATTGCACAGTGTTCTATTCCTTTCTGCCTTCTCCTTTAAGATTTTTGCAACAGCCATCTCCCTCTTCCAAATAATGACGTGCCACAGACATTGAATTGCACTAAGTTACCCTACATTTTAAAAGCGGTACTTGTCGGAGAAAAGTATCATGATTATTGAGAGTCATCATTTTTGATTGAAGATTAAAGAGGAAGATTTGATGAAGTCCATAGAGTATTTATTGAAAGCATATGGAATGGCTAAAGAAAGTAAGTGTTAACTGTATAACATTCTTAGAAGTATGGAAACTTGCTGATTTCATGCTCATTCCACTGGGAGATTTTCCTTGTCTCATTTCTGAGGAAGTGCTCTATACACATGTGTGTTTTACCTAGTTTCATTGTCTCATGGTTGTAATCTGGGAATGACTGGTCAGTGTTAGCTGAAATGAAAGAGGTCTCAAAAAACCCAGAACTCTCCCATGTTTAAAAAGAAAACAATATTGTCACAAACCAACTAGAGGATTGCTACAAAGTTTGATGAGGTTTCTTTATGTTAAATTATTGAGATGTCTCATTGCTTTATGAAAATAGCTTATCAATAAAGTTATGACCAACTAAAAATGTCAAAATTTAAAATAGGACGGTTACACTTCCAGTCCTTTGAATTCTCTCCAATTCATTAATTCATTAATTCAGGCAGCTTCTGCCAAGCTAGTCACCTAGCCACTCAGGATGAGAGTTCGCTGCAGACTGCAATAATAAAGTTTTAATTGTGGTTATTCTCAGTTAATCCAATTTAATTAAGCATAAAATAATAATTTGCTAATAATTTACTTGTCACAATCCAGGTGGGGATGATCAACAGGAGGGTTTAGCTGGCTACAGACTGGGCAATGCATATGAAGAAATTGGTGATGCTGAAACTGCCATTCTGGTAAGAATTCTGGAGCAATTTTTGCACTTCCTAAAATCTAATTTAATCAAATTTTTTACACACGGTGAGGGCTAAACTTTCAACAGAAAGCCCTAACAAGCAAAGTTCACTGAAGCTGTTCAAGCATCTATCCATTTTATAACTTTGAACACTTAGGTGGCTGGCCAGCCATACAGAGGAATCTTTCTTAGTTCTTTCTGATACATCCTAGCAACAGACAGACTAGAGATGGTGTCTTAAAATAACCTTTGAAAGTCTAGTGAGTCTAGTGGATAGTGATGCCTGTAACTTTCAATATATTAATTTATAAGTTTGTTATGCTTTTGTTTGATTTTAAACTTCTAGTATCATAATGGCTACTTGGAGAAATGCCAGCAAACATCAGATGATGTTGGAATGGGGCGAGCTTGTCAAGCCCTTGCAAGGGCATATGAAATGTAAGTTAATTTCAAATTTAAATAGAACTTATGTTAGCTGTTTCAAGGTGTTTTAATATTGAGAGAGGGATTGAAACTGTGCTGACTGAGGTGATTACTGCATTTTTTTTTCTTCCGTGAAAAAAAATTATCTGCACTCTAATTTCAATTTTGAATCTATTATTATACTAGTATCTAAAAAGTTTGAACAAAAAGTAAAAAATAAAAAGAATAGGTGTCAAGTTTGTCGTAAAATATTAAATCTGCTATAAACCCGTTGGTTTCAAAAGTTTATTTCTCAAATAATGAAGAATTTCCCAAAATAAAAATTTCATTTAAGGCTATCAAGCAAGACCTGAGCTTTCAGGAAATTGATATCTGAGATGTCAATTTTCACACCCAAGGTGTGATTTCTGATTTATATCGCAGGCTCAAAAAATCAAGAATTGCGTATTTCTTGCTTTCCCTTGATAAGTACATGTAGGAATAAAAAATAAATTGGAACTGAATTATACTTAGATTGGTAATTTACCTATAAATTCTTGGCATTGTTAGTCAATTTTTCCTTAAGATGTTAAGGTAAAATTTTTTTGTTATGGCCTGTAACAATTCCAAAATGTTTCCTTATTGCTGAGAAATTAAGTGTTTTTTTTTGTCAACATTATGTGAATAAATGTGGCAAGTGTCAGAGCGCTATTAGAAATCCTAATCTTTTTACATTCGGTGTGGTCTAACACAGCTGCAAAATCACCCTTGTCAGGTTGTTAATGGCCTGCGTCCATTGGACTTTGTTTGGGTGTACTGGGCAACCCTCTAGATTCACCCTTAATTTTTGTCATGCTTTGCTGTTTTCTTTGTCCCTGTCTTGAATTCTTATGAGTAAACCGCTGTCCTTAATGTTTGACTAACACTGACCCAATTGTGGCACAGAATGTGGCGAGAAAAGGCGAAAATCTTCGTTTGAACTTGTTTTGTGATGTGCTCTCAATTTGGCATCATAAACAAAGTTTTAGCCTTAGCAACACAGCAATTTGCATGATAGGCCATTTAACTGTGACCTTATGTCATCGATCAACCTTGCAAGGATCATATATACTGTACAATGTGTCTTTAGAAGTTTAGCAATCATACTTTATTTGGGGAAGCAGAATGTAAGTGAATTTTGCTGTAATTTGCCCTTGAAACTCATAAAGCGATGTTGTGCGTCGGGTTGTGAAAATTGCAACAGTTATGACAACAACAGAAAGTATCGCGTCGGATTTCAGCCATGTGAGAGTATTTATAAGCGACTTTATAAGCATGGTCAAATTATGACCTTGTAGCAGATCTAATACCTTAAGCTTCACGCAAAGGGGAGTGGTGTGCAAACGGATGCAACAACTCCAAATTCAATGTTGGGACCTGCAGTACATCATAGGAAGGATACAACCAGTAAGACTTTGTAAACCATGTGTAATGCACTTGCATGGCCCCCAACAATAGGGGAAGAGCTGCACAAATGGATTCAACGTTGTTGTGCTATGTTTTTGCGATCACGGAACAAAAATGTTGGGATTTATTGGCTCAAAAGTTTGACCAATTTGAAACTTTGTGCGACAGCTAATGCTCGCGATGACATGCAACAACATTCAAGAAGGTGTGTAAACAGACCCAACATGTAACACCCAACAATGTTGGAAGTTGTTGGCCATCAGTATTGGGTCTGTTTGCTCAGCCAGGCTTTTGTCACATTTAGTGCATACTATTTACAGCAAGGAAAAGATGTAGGACATTCTGCATATTTTGAGTATTGTGTTTCAGGCAATGATGCCCTTTTTCCAGTGTATATTATTTTTGTTCTTAAAATGTACATTGTGGGAGCTTATGATTAAAATGACATTAATAATGATATTCAAAAAACATTTATGAGGGTCTGTACAAGCAGAATTATTGTTTGATGTTTCTTGATAGGCAAGGAGATGTGGAAAGTGCAATGAAGTATCTTGAGATGTTTGTCGAACTGGCTGACAGATCTCAGCAGTTACCTGAACAACAAAAAGCTTGTACTTGTCTTGGTGCTATTTACAATTCACTGGTAAGGCATTTTGACATGTTTTAATTAAATGATTTGCAAGAACTCAACACATGATCCTAAAAGATGAAATTAAACAATACATGAATGGTCAGAATAAGTTGTTAGGATTCTTTCTTTTAGAATATTCAACACAAAACGGAGAAATGTTAATTCTGATTGCTAAGTAAAAGAGGCTTTTTTAACTTTGGTGGTCCACCATGCTTAAACTAAAGACAAGGCTGGCTTTTTTAGAATATTTCTGAACAGGTGAGCCTTACATAAGTTGTGGAAGATAGAGCCAGAGATTACAATGTAATTTATGAGCTTGGCTGGAAGAAAAACGACTCCAGTCGTCAACGGATGAAAACACTGCGAGTTGCTAGCGCATTACATGATATAAAATTGTTTTTGAGATGGCTGAAAGGCAGCAAAGATTCTTGTGCATGCAAAGATTAACTCAAAGTCAGTGTAAAGGACACATTCAACAGTTGTGCAAGTAATCTCAGCATTAAATAAAATTTCTTTTTTGGGGATTCCTTTGCAAAACAGAGATAAGATTTTGTGGCACTTCTTATAAGGTCGGCTGAGGATGTGCCATTAGAAAAAAATCTTTTGCTCACAATTTTCTTGAACTACTGAATAGAAATGTACTTCACTGGTGACCCTGTGAAACGAGAGAAAGCTCAGAACACTTACCCCTCCCCTGACCCAAAAACCAACTTCTCTTTTAGTGCAAAATGTTGGATTAGGGGAGGGGTGGGAGGCTGGTTTCACAGATTCTTATGCTGAACACTTAATAATGTCTCCTCACTCTACAGGGTAAATATGAAGATGCTGTTCGCATGTACACAAGAGGCTTTGAGATAGCACAAGACCTTGCAGCAGTAGAGACCACAGAAACCACGAGGGTAGAATATGGCATTGCTTTGGCACATACAATTTTCACGGGCTACTCTCAGTGCTTGGATCAAGTCGGCAAGAGCAACATACAGAGATTACTAGACTTTAAGAGCTCACGACTGGACACCTTCTCTGAAGAAGCAATAGCTGATGATGAGGCTACTAAGGGGAGTCTGCCCAGTAGTGATCTAGGCTCTGGAGAGCATGATGAGCCCCCATTGGGGGATGGAGAGGAAAATTTGCCCACCGATACAGCCCCTGGTGTGGAAACTAAGGATGAAGTAACAAATGGTGGAACTGATTCCGGTGTGACAAGTGAGGGAGAAGAAGGGAAAAAAGGACAGACAGAAGCTCAGCAGGGATAGTCTCTCTTTTACTGAGACAATGAGTTTATTCCCAGGAATTACATGGAAGCTTGATGATCATGTGGCAGCAAAACTTAGTTTAAGACTGGCAACGTGGCAAATAAGTGTGAAGTTATCTCCTGGATCCTTGCCAAAGGTTTCATTCTTAAAATTCACCAACTCATTCTCAGCAGAAGATCTTTTAAAGTAAAAACCATTTTCTTTCAGTGTTCAGATACGTTTGAAAGAATTAAAGAGCTTGTTCTCAAAATGCATTTGTACGAAAACGCCACTAGAGAGAACCTCGTGGATGCCAACAAGTTAATGTGGATGAGCTGTTGACGGAACCGATTAACCAATACATTATAGTGAGGTCTTACTGACATTATTGATGCATTCTTTTCCTCTCACAATTTGCACCTTCTTCAAGTTGTTTCCACATGCTTCTTTATTTATATCGGTTGTATTTCCAGGTGAATTTCGCATCATTTTACTTGGCAAGGATAATGTATAGAGTTGGACTGTTAGTTATTTCAAGAAAATGTACATAATTATCATTATAGAACAAGTCCTTGGCTTTGTACTTGGAGAAGTGTCTCGTTAATATGAGAGTTAGCCTGCGTGCAAGCTCTCCATGCGAACCGCGAAGAAAAGTGCCGCTTTCTCTCGCGTTTTCTTTCGCGTGTTGCTCGCGCGTGACTTCTCTCCACTCCCCTAAATGGATAGCTTCCTCGCAGGCTGTACGAGAGGTATGGGCTTTCACAAACAGCTTAAAGTAACATCATACTGTTTTCAATTCAAATGGTTGCAACAGTTTTTTTATTCTCAATGTAGCCTGCGTAGCAGGCGTCGAAAGGGGTAGGGGATAAGGAGAAAGAGAAAAAGGGAGGGGGATTGGTGCTTTTCTCCCTCCCGCTCCCCCTCCCCCTCCCCCTCCCCTTCCCCTTTTTGCGCCTGCCACGCATGCTTTTCTCGGTGCGGTAAAAATTAAACTTATGGCCCATATCTAATCCACTACATTTGATATCTATTCAATCTATTTATTGGGCACCCTCAGGACCGGAAAGAGATGAATGAATACTGTTGAAATCAAGCTCCTTAAATACCGAATCCCTTTTGACTTTACTGGAAAACTGTTTAAAATTACAAGAGTTATTAAAATCATCGGAAAAAAGTTCCATAGTACGGCACCTCTATACTGTATGGAATGTTTCATAAAATTCAGTAGAAAATTATGGGACCACAGTCTTATTATTTATTCTTAGATTTAGTATGGACTCTCTCTCGCTCTCCGTGTAACTAAATTCTGAATCAGATAGAGTGTGTTTGGCTCCTCTAACAGAGTTTCTAGATCTGCTTCATATGTTGCAGGCGTTGTTTTTGATGTTGGTTTTTTTTTTGTCACAGGATCGTGGGTGGGATATGAATCCTGGGAATCCGTGGTCGGTGTGTCGCCCAGTTCTCCAAACCCTGACCCTATGCAAGACCAAATAATTGTCATTTTCCACACCAGTTTTCAGGCCTGGGTCTCTAAAATCCATACCCGTTTTCAGACCTGGCGTAGGCAGAACTTGTGTTATCATTAGTTAGATTAGAACGCCAACACACAAAAGATTCCTTAAACTCCATAGTTTCGAATTCGCATATTACTCTTCCGTTCTTATTCATTTGAAATTGAAAGGACAAATCACTGGACAAATCTTCTTGAACGTTTGGTGGGTAGTAGGACCAGTATATATGCTGAGTATGCTGAGTACTCTGGCTGAGTACATTTTAAACTGATTCTCAGACGTCCGAGGTCGTTCTGAGAGAAGAGAGGGGACCTCGGCGACCATCAGGTTTTAGCATTTTTATAAGTTTGAGCCCGCGTACAGGGAAGAGACCGAAAAGGTCCTGGGGATGAGGAAGCCTTGCGATCATCAGTGTTGAAGATTGTGGAAGATTCGATTGTAGGAAGGAATAGCAGGGGAGAGGATGGAATTCTCATTACACTGCGAAGTTACGCTGAATAATCGCCTTGAAGCCGTGGAAAACTGTTTAAAGGCTGGAGAAGACCCTAATGGAATAGATGACTATGGAAACGCGCCTCTTCATTGCATTAACTATTACGACGAGGAGGCGTTCAAAATGGTTGAACTTCTTCTTAGTTACGGAGCAAATATGCTTCAACGGGATCGTCTAGGAAGACTACCCTTTCAACATGCCTTAGAGTATGCAAATAAAAAAGCATGTCAAACTTTTCTAGACAAGGGATTTTCCCTGCAAAAGGCTGACTGCATGCGAAATGGCACGTATGAAATATTCAGTAATTTGGAGCTGTTTCAACTCGAATCCATTGAGGTTCTTCAAGTGCTTGTTGATCTCGGCGTGGATTTATCAGAAACGTTATCTTCAAACGGCGAAACCCTTCTACACAAGGCGGTTGAGTCGGGGGCTTCTGTAGAAACGGTGCAGTTTCTGACAAGAACTGGAATATCAGTAAACAGCAGCAATTCTCTGGGAATGACGCCTTTACATATGCTGAGATATTTAGACTGTACTAGTAATCCTGTCGATAAATATGACATAGAGGGATCGCGGCATTCAAAACTAATAAAGCTCTTCTTAATGGAAGGCTATAATGTCAACAATCAAGATGTATTTGGTCGTGCCTTGTTACATTATGTGATATCTGAACTGCGACAAAGCTCTCTCTTGCAGTTCCTTGTCAGCCATGGTGCAGAGTTAAACATTAAAGACAGAAATGGTGTCACACCTTTACATTTAGCATGCTCCTGGAACAATGAAACAAATTTAAGGGAAATGTTTAATAGTGGCTGTGTGGTTGATATCGAGGACAACAATGGAGCAACAGTATTTCACTACACAGTTTTCTACAACAATGCTACAGGATTGAAATATTTATTAAATCATTGTAAACCTGGTTTGGTTTCCAAGCCAGACAAGTCTGGCAGATCTCCGCTCCAGTGGGCTGAGTGCTTTGGATATGTGCAGCTAATTGATCTCTTTGAAGACTATTTTTTATCATTGAACAGAGGCTTTACAAGGACAAAGCTACCTGATGTGTTTCCACTAAAAGATGAGTTCTGTGACATCAAGAAGCAAGAAGATGTTGAAAACATGCAATCAAAGGACTTCTCTCTCACTACCAACCCAAACAAAACACTGCAAAAACTGTTGACTTCGCCAGTGATTGGCAAACTACCAGAAATTTCAGAGACAAAGGATGTTCAAATTGCAGTGAGAAACGTTATGGAGCAGGTTGCAGCAATCATTTCAAAAGCTTTTCCTCTGTTTACATTTGTACCTGAAATCTCAGGGAGCATGAGTGAAGGCACAAAATGTGGATTTCCTAATGAGTTTGACTTCCTGTGCACAATGGTCAAACTTAGTGAGCATTTCCAACAGCCAAATGTGGAATCCAGCCCTCCAATGTTTTGTCAGTTGCATATAAAACCTGATGTTCACCTTCAAGGTCATGAGATTTTGCAATATGTAGACAAAGACAACAGTTTTAGAAATGCAAAATTTGTTATTGACTTCAGTGATCAGCTGAATAGGGCATTTTTGGAGAAGGAAATTTGGGATGACATCCCCACTTTAGCACCAGTTAGTGTTTGTTTAATGGGAGCAAATGCTACAAAGATTACCCTGAATTGGCATGGGCAAGTTTACAGAGATATGCTGATTAGTGTAGATATTGTCCCTGCATTGCACTTCCCAAAGTTTTGGCCTCCAAATGTTTCTGAAACGGCATTGCTTCACTCAAAGATAAAGGAAAGAGGAGTTCATGTTGTCATGGCTCTGCATGGTGAAAGTTTTTTTCAAGGTGGAGAAAAACACTTTCGTCTCTCTTTTTCTCTGGCTGAGACTGCGATATTCCAGGCTCTTCCAGAGTATATTCATTCAGGTTACATTCTTGCGAAGGCTGTGAGAAGTACCTATGTGTGTCCACAAATTGAACCAAAGATTCCAACAATGGAAGACCAACTGAGCAGTTCTGGTGAAGAACAAAACAGTGAAATGGAAACTGAGGAATCAACACACAAAGCAACAGAGTTGACTTTGCCGGTGAATAGCAGCATCTCTGCAGAGACAGTTATATCCAGTTACTTTTTAAAAAATGTACTTTATGTTTTAGTGAATAGATCATACGAGAAAGACACCAACCTTTGTGTACAGAATGTATCTGAAGATGAGGTGATGATCTGGGCAAAACAGATCTATGACTTCCTTGAGAATTGTCTCCAACAGGAAAATCTGCCTTCTTTCTTTTTACCAAACCTTAACTTGCTAGAAAGGAGTTATGATTCTGAACAGCACGATAATGTGTTTTATGGTGGATTGGAATCTCACCCAATGGATGAAGACTTGATGCAGGATTTAGATGATGCACTAGAGGGCACAAGAGAGGACGGGGTAGAACATTTGAGAAAACCTTTTATTAAAATGTTAAAGGGGATTGTTCAGTCTAACTCATAAATATAAAATCTATTAGTATATACTGAAACAGTGGATAGTGTTTTTCGCATGCTCTGATTGGCTACTCAATCAGTGACTATCCTGCACTATTCACTAATTCACCTCCAGTTCCTACAAGCGAGCGACGCCAAACTCACATAAGTTGCAAGCAAAATACCCTCACGGTTTGTTGTTGTAACAAACTAAGAAATTTCACAACTAATCAAGCAAGCTATTCCCAGTCAAGAAGGTCACGAAGTTCTGTTTGGAAGTTTGAACAAGTAAAGCTTTGTCTTTTTGACTTGAATTTTTCGATAAAATCAGTGAAAAAGTTTTTTCTTTACAAATGCAAATTAAGCTTAAGTTTTGCATTACTTTATTTGGTTAACTTGTTCATAAATAAGTGTAAAACTAAATTTAATAATCTTTTTTACAGAATGATTTTAAATACAAAAAGAATTCACAACTCCTTTTGAAGAAACTTCCCCGCAAGAGCTAAACAAACGCCTTCAAAAGTTTTATTTGTTGCCAAGAAAAAGTGACAACCGCGGCCATTCGGTCATCGTGCACCAAAATTGTAAGCGTTAGCAACGGTAAATGAGTTAAAAATCATCATTTTTGTGCTCAATTATCTCACTGTTTTAGTATATACTAACACAATATTCACCGTGGAGGTGGCTAGTAAATTATAATATTATTATTGTACTTTAAATTTATCTTTTTTAGCACATACTTCAGTATTTTATTCCTTATACAACATATCCTACATTCATTAGTCACCAGTAATGCGATACCAGGTTGCTCAAGGTGATTTTCTGCATCATAGAACGTAATAAGTTATAAGACACCCTTAATTTCCTTTGGGCTGCTTGTGATTTTTTTTACATAAACAGGTGAGCCCCCACCTAAACATCTTATTTCAGTTTTCATTCCTGCACAGGGTTTTATTTTTAACCCTTTAAGTCCCAATAGTGACCAACATCAATTTTCTCCTAACAATATCCATAGATTGTCAAGTGCGACATCTATGAGAATTAATCAAATGATCACAAAGAGAAAAATCTTTGATCTTTTATCAATTTCTCCCAACTAATTCTGCAAGGAGATGTATAGAGATCAGTTTGGAGAATTTGTTTGTGGATATTGGGGCTCAAAGGGTTAATGCGAAGCCTTTAAAGAGTGTGAAGGTCGGAAATAAGCGGTCTACGTTTGTTGTAGAGACAGTTTTTCCTAAACAATCTAATTCCATTATATTAATTATTACGTTAATCTGTATATGCTAAATAAAATGAATCAGGGTCAATAAATGAGGTCTTTTTTATTTAATAGGTTAGTAAATGATCAATCATTGTCTTCCCAAGGAGTGCAGGAGGGGTAGCTCCCTCATAGACCTTCCAACCCCTAAACCATGTAAATCTGGAATGTTTGAAAAAACACCGCTAAAAACCTGGAGACTGGGACCTTGAACCTGGATATTTCCAAAATAAATGTCAAATAAAACAAAAAAGGAAGATTATTTTGTCGTGGAATTCGTTACACTTGGCTATCAGATATAATTTACCCAACCAATATTACTTTTAAATGTTGTACAATATTAATTTTGGCTGCTCCAGCCACTAGTTTTTTTTTCCTTTGGAAGCTGAGGTTCCAAAGTTTCCAAGTCAGCTTGAGATTCTGTTTCACTATCCATGTCGATAGGTGGGGGAGTAGCCATTTTGAGTTTGCTAAAGGGCTTTCCCAGGTGAAACCAGTTTGTTTCATTGGGATGTGGTCGGGATTGGACCCAGGTTTCCCCCCAAAATTAGATTGATACAATTTTATTTGTCCATTACGAAGACAGATTTCCCGAAATTATGCGATTCCTACTGAAATTGTCTGGCAGCTTCAAGATTTTCCGATTCACCAAGAGATTTGGAGGCTAAATTGTAAGACCATGGGTTGACAGCCCAAACTGTGAGAGTTAGAATGTCTGCCCTCGTAGCATTGGGGCTCTTATCTCCCTGAAGGAAACCAATCTAAATGTGACTCATGACAAGCTTTATCTCACCCGTAAAAGTAGGAGACCATTCTATATAATGCAGATAGCCAAACGAGAGCTAAGTGATACTTGTATGGATAAAAACAGATGTCCCATTTTAAAAACCCTAATTTATTTTATGCAAAAAAATTCAACAATAATTAATTAATTTATGCCTCTAAATCACATGAGCATCCCAAGTTTCATTTGCCTGAGAGTTTCTCACCCAAGTGGCATCTTGCCATATATTAACCCTTTAAGCCCCAATATCCACATACAATTTCTCCAAACTGGTCTCTATACATTTCCATAAAGAATGTGTTGAGAGAATTTGATAAAAGATTAAGGCATTTTCTCTTAGGTGATCATTTTATTAATTCTCATAACATAATCTCTTGACAATGTATGGATATTGTTAGGAGAAAATTGATGTTGGTCACCATTGGGACTTAAAGGGTTAAGTCGAGCTGATTTTATGATGTCTCACCCTGTTACTAGTAAAACCACTGTATTTTCACTGAATGTTTTTTTTATTATTATTATTGGCATAAAAGCTCTCGGCAAAGCTATTACATATAATTTACCTTACAACAAATACCCTCAATAACAACATTCCAAAGGTTATGATATTACAGGCATAATAACGAACAAGGCTTACAGTTTCACCAGTGGCTCTGTTGGAATTCAACAGCTTTAACCCTTAAAAACCAAAACACTATAGAAGCCTTGAGCTGAAATACACGTATACTTGAAATGCCAGAAAGGAAAAAAGATTGTTTTAAGAACTCATAAAGTTTGCTATTAACCCACTACCATAAAAGCAAGAGGTATGCATATTTTTGGTTAAGACATCAAAGTGACTTTGGGACAAAGTTTGCTTTAGTTAATTTTCTGACCACAATTACACAACTATTATATTATTCCTTCAAAATAAGAAAGTGATTTTGAAACAAAACCAGGGGTGAGTAATTTGATTACAGTACTGTGGAGTCCTTAAGTTTCCCTTTCTATCCCCAAAACAAGTATTTGCCAATATCTGACATTTCCATAAATGTTACTAGTTTTCCTGCCACAAAACTCACACATGCAAAGATGATACAACTATGAATTGACACTACTACAATTCCATAAAATTCCATAAAAGTCTGGTCATAATCCATGGGCTTGATGGAAACATTCTGCTGCACCAAAAACACACTTCACTTTATTATATGGATTCATCAAAAAGCAAACAGAGAACATAAACTTAATTTAACATTAAAAAGTCAACCTTAACTCCAAAATTTATCAATGCAAAACAAAAAGAACTGTGACTTGAAATCAATATTATTTAACAATTATTCGTTGAGCCTGAATGGGCTCTGAGTCAATAGCCCATGAGGCCGAAGGCAGAATGGGCTATTGACTCAGAGCCCATGAAGGCAAGAGAAATAATTATTTTAGTAAAATCCAACTATTACTGTCATCCTCAAAAATATTGAGAAAAAACAACTTCAGCTAGTTAAAACTAGACTTTAATCCTTTTTTGCCGCCGAAAAGCCCGTGCTTTTCGCTACGAGTGGGCTGTAACATATAGCCTAGTAGTAGCTCAGCCAATCAGAATGCGGCATTAATAATAGACCACTGGTTGGATTTGTATAGGTAATAATAATAGCATGTTTTGTAGTGATATTTGGCATAAATACCACGAGTGATATTTCAAAATTGTTATATGTAATTTCACGAGCTGTTTAGGTGAGTAAAATTTGAGACAATTTTGAAATATCACAAGTGGTATTTATGTCAAATATCACGTACAAATCATGCTATTATTTGTTTATAATACTACCCGCAAAAGGTTTGTAATTTTTACATGTAGGTATTTCAAATTAAGCTGAAATACCAGTTCTCTAAGCTAATCAAGTTGCAGAAATTTCTCATGTAATAGTAAAATACTAAGAAATAAATATCTGGAATCCACAAAAAAGGTCGTACATTGGGGATTGTTTGGGTTATGACCAAAATTTTACAGTGTGCAAATGAAAACCCATTATGTAACTACAAGCAAAGCCAGGCAAGCTACAATGCAAAGTGCACTGGTTCTGAGATCTTTGGATCAGTTCTTTCCATCAAACTGAATGGCATCAAGAACTTTGTTCAGATCATATCCCTTGGCTTTGATCAGCTGACTCATCCAGCCACTGTCATCCTCAAACCCCATGGCACGCATCTTTGCTATGGCTACCTCCAGAGGGTTAGTGGAATCAGGCTCATCTGCACTAGTTCCTGAAGCGCCTTCACCTTGATGCTCTGTGTTCTCATCAACCAAAACAAACTCTTCTGGTGCCTGGACATCCTTTTGATAAAGCATAAGACATGATTTGTGAGGACTTTCACAGTAATGATCGTTTCCTGTACCATGTCATTACCCTTGTATTAAAATGACAAAACAGAAAAACAGTTTTCCAGTGAAATTTTCAGCC